ATATTTGGGCTGTGATAGAATATCATTTAAATCCAAAATCTAACTTTTAAATTTGTATTTCAGAAAATATGTCTTCTGATGAAACTTAAAAAAATGGATCTGGTGCTCAAGAAGATGATTTGTCCATCGATGAAGAAGATGGAGAAGTAGTTCTCTCCATAGCCAGGGAAATATAAATGCAGAAAATGAAGTCAAGATAGTAAAAGGGCTATGTATATAATACTGGCCCACATCTGGTCTTCTTAGCATACAGAAATACACCATTAGAGTGTGGTCACTCACCAGCAAAATTGTTGATGGGTAGATTATTAAGAACTAGATTACCATGTGCAATATAGGCCAATGATATAGACTGATATAAAGAAAAGTAAAACCCTCAAGAAAGAGAAACAAAAAATATGTATTATTATATCTATAATAGGTATTCTTCAATTTCCAGCTCCTGATCATCCGTTATAATTTGTAAAATATGTTCTTCAGTTGGACTTGTTCCATGCAGTGCAACATAGTTTGAAAACAATCAAAAAGGCATCTCCATTCAGAAAAGAGATTGCAAAGGATTTTAGACTATTATTCAGAAGTAAAAAAAACGTTGGTAAAAAAGGACAATGCTAACACCGTCGAGGGAACAACTAATGAGACATCTGGATATCTTTTTGAAGAAATTAAAGACAATGATTCATTTTCCACCTAAAGTATAATATTCAACAATAAAAATTTGCTGCAATTTCCAGCTCCTGATCGTCCAATATAATTTAATAATAATTTAAAAAATATGTTCTTCAGTTGGACTTGTTCCATGCAGTGCAACATAGTTTGAAGAAAATCAAAAAGGCATCTCCATTCAGAAAAGAGATTGTATTAGGATTTTAGACTATTATTCAGAAATCCAAAGGACGTTGGTAAAAAATGGACAATGCCAAAGCCGTCGAGGGAACAAATAATGTGACATTTGGATATCTTTTTGGAGAAATACAAGAGTGAACAATTCCAATAACTGTTCTGTTCTGTAAACCATTCATGCTATCAATCAAGAACTTACAGAAACATATAGTAAAGGGTTACCTTTCTAATATACCCTTGAAAGGCTCCACGTCAATACATAAAAGGCTACATCGCAGATTACAATACCTTATGAAATCTCATTCCAAAATTGCTTCACACACAGCATATGCGATTATGTCAGTGATAATTGACAGCATTAATGGGTTTAACACATATCAATTAAGGGATACGCAAGCATTTTACTTTTGGCAGATGACATCATTGAACCTTTCTGGATTTGGAAGATTTAAAATATATAGCGTAACTGATTCAAACTCAATATGAAATGTCCAATCATACATATTCAGAATCTTACGGATATTCCTTACAGGTAATACTTTTACGCACAATAAATGAATGGATAATAAGTAACAGGTTAAATCAATTAACAGCTGAGAACATCTTCCTGATATTCCATTCATTGTTAGTGAAACTATTTCTAATAAGATAATGCACATTTTGATATTTATCAATAATGGACACATATGGGAGTATAGTAAAGTATGTGAACACAATACATACATTTTCCTGTATATATTAAGGACAATTAAGAACAATTAGGATATCACAATATAAAATACCTAACATATTATCACCAACAAAATTTCAAATTTCAAATATGAGGAAAACCACATGTAAACCATGGAACAAGGACTCAAGTAAATTTAGCTCAAAATGAAGAGTTAGTCATCGATCATGAGGACTCTTACGCACAATAAATGAATGGATAATAAGTAACCGGTTAAATCAATTAACAACTGAGAACATCCTCCTGATATTCCATTTATTGTTAGTGAAACGATTTTTGATTAGATGAATCATCATGTACTAATGAAACAGTATTAAAAAGAAATCTATCTGGATTCAAAGTGAAAACATGGAACAAGAGGCAACGGCAATTGTTTATTTGAAGCTTTCAGCACATCATATAATTATTCTCATAGCTTCAACAACCAACCAAACCACAATAGAACATTTCCATTCATTAAATATACAGAGGGGAATGTCAATAGAATTATCACAATTATTATTAAAAGTTATTGTGATCAAATACATGACTGAAAATAAACATGAGTACATGGAAATGATAGGTGCAAATGAAAATATATTCCAACCAGATGCTTATACAGTTACAACAAAATTAAGCGTTCAATAACAATTTAGCTGATACCATTCCTATAACTGAAGAAAATTTTTTAAATCTACACAGTCATATTAAGTCTTATTACCATTTTTATTATTATTTGGGAGTATTTTAACACTTCTCCCCCATTTTTGCAATTTGAATCCTCAATATTATAAAATATCTTTTGGTAGGCCAATTGAACATGTTGCTTGCAACACAACACAACAGAACTAAAGGTGAAATAAAATAATTTTTGCTGTAGTGGAGCAATTTTGTACATATTTGATATGTAAATTCTCAAAAGCATGGTTCACTGTTGCTGTTGTTTAGTTAAACCATCATCTAAGAATATTTTAAACTGTTTTTCAGATGCCTCTGTTTACCATGAATATCAGGACCAGGAAGTGTGTCCTCAAAGACAGTTTAAAGATGTGGAACTATCCTCCACCAACTCCACTCACTGTGTTGGGGCCACCCAAGACATTTGGTCCATACTTCCAACTCCCTTTCTTCATGTGGGCGCCCCACAGACTCTGGTCAGGACAACCGCTGGTTTGCCACCTGTGTGAGAAGAGGCTCACCAAGGCAGGAGTATACCAGCAGACCTGCCGGCAGGTACTGAGAGAAGAATCCTGGTATTGGATGGGTACAGAGTACCTCGAGTGCAAGGGATGCGGCAAAAAGAGTGCAGCTTGGTCTGGCCACATCTTAGACCAGTTAGCCTTAGGCCAAAGAAGTCATTTTCCAGCATTCCTTACTTATTGGTAAGTTCATTTCTTTGCTCATCATTTTATTTTAGAAATGTACTTAATGACCTTAGGGTGATTCCCATGGAATTCCCACCAGGGATGCTAAACTGCTTTTAGCGTACACTTACAACTCAATCAGAGGCGTAGCTAGCCCATTTTGCGAGTGTACGCCCGTATGATTTCCCGGTTTTATCAAAATTAACAAAACGATGGTTCCATAAAATAGGAAGATCCCGGGTGTTCAGAAGATAGGGGACACACTAAACACTCTTAATTCAATGAAGGAAATATGTATTGTTTGATCATTTTGACATAGCTTTTTAAAGGGATTGAATTAACTGTATTAACAGATAATATTCGGGAAACAAAATAAACAGATTCTATATAATCATGCCATCGGCGATCGAAGCCGTCTATCAAGGCGATTTTATTTTTTAGGCTACCTAAAACTGAATGTATGAGGCTCATTGTTTTAAGCTTTTGTGGTTATTCTCCATGAAATATTATTATTTTTTCTGTGTTTGTTTTTATATAGCTCACAAGATGATTAACAATAAAAGAACAGTTACACGACCGTCTCAACTCCATTTCGGATCTTAACAATCTGTACGTGATTCTATAGAATAAATTCTATCTTTCTGTTTTTGCATTTGCGAACATGTCAATAACAGTATCACTGTTTATATCCTGTTCCCTATGAATATGTATCATGGCCAAGGAAGAAAGTCTTTCCTCGTTCATTGTGGAACGCAAGTATGACTTAATGCGTTTCATACTGCTAAAGCTTCGTTCAGCCACGCAAGTGGATACTGGCAATGTAAGCAGCTGGACCAAACACGTGTAGACATCGGGGTAAAGAGGCTGGGGGTCTGTTGAATAGTCTCCTATCGATTTCTATCTCTTGGTAAAATATATATTTTTCATCACAATTAATCAGGTAAATTTTATTTTTCCTTAAAATTTGAGAGTACGCCTGGGCGTACTTGGCGTACACGTAGCTACGCCACTGCAATGCCTTTATGATTGTCTATGATTTATTTATTTTAATAAGATGTTTCCCTTTACTGTTTTGCAGCTACACATGTGACATATCATTATTAAGGAAGATGCGCCAGCCGAGATTTATTATGATGGCAATACCCTAACGGTGTGTTTTCCTCATATTCCTTCATTTACGGTTGAGGGAAGCTGCACCATGGTTGCTTACAGAATCTTGATTGGAGCTTACCTTCTGAGCACTGTCTAAGCGTGCTGGGCTTCTGAATTCTACCCTCATCTTCCGATGGAGAGATGTCAGGAGTGGCTTTCCAATACAAACATTGTGTGATGTGTCTGCCTTACCTGCGGCATTTTAGCATAACAAATTTGTACGAGGGGATATAAGATGTTGATCATTTCCCGACATTATGAATAATAGTTTTGTAAAATACTTGTAATGTGGCTGAAGGAGATGCTGTATATTGCTTTTGATTACTGTTTTGCTTGAATTCAACAATATTAAGTAATATAATATGTGGTTTATCAGTCAGAGAATACTTCAAACTTTACATTTGTATATGTACGAAAAAATGTTTTGTATAGGAGATCTTAGGTTAAAAATAACATAAATAATAAAATAGTAATGGTTGGTTATTCTTTGTCAACATTGGTAACATGTTGCTAGAAAGGATGATATGAAAAAAACCTAGATACCAGAGGTAAACAAACTGAGAGGACACTTGGAAGAAAAGTATGAGAAATATGAAGAGGAAACAGACTGTAATGAACAAAAAGCCAAATATTGAATGAATGAATTTTATTCACACGCCCTTCATTGATACGGACATTGACCACATTGCCATTCCCTGGCTTCAAATCAAACACCTTGATCTTAAAAAAGCAGATGAAATTTTGCATACTCTAGAATCTGAACTTGAACAAATAATGCCCAAAGACCAAGGGTCAATAGCAGAATGCCTTGATGAAACATTACTTCTACATGGTATTGCAAGACGAGCACATTTCAATAAATGTTTCATTGGAAACCGTGCAAATATTTATTGCAAATCAGAATGTTATAAGGATATGACTGATGCAGTAGTGCGCAAAACTGAATATTATTTCAAGGAATTGCCTCGGAGGGAAGAAATGCTTAAAAAAGCGAAGAAAATAGCATCAAAACTTACCCTATTGAACCAGTCATTTGGGAATTTGCATAGAATGGTTGGACACAGCAGGCATATAGAGGAGTGGGAGTTTGACATCATTGATGAATGTGTTAAAGATTACTGTCAAACATTTAGGAAGCTGTTCCCCTATGAATCAAATCCTCTTAAATTTCACTTTATTGAGGATCATCTTGAACCGTTTATACGAAAAATGAAATGTGGATTAGGTGTTTTAGGAGAACAAGGCATTGAAGGATTACACAAACAGTTCAACGAACTTGGAGTTCGATTTCGCAGAACTAAAAACACATTGAGCCGCCTGTGTAGGAAAAATGGCAGTGATGGCTGTTCGATGGGATTTGCTATGCTTTGGTTTTGCTGTTATCTAGTTAAATCATGGGTATAGAGTATTTGTAGATTTTTTTTTTGAGTATTTGTAGATGGTAAATACTACATTGTGACACATACAGATTCATGAATATAGTTTTGGTTTGGATTTGCTACTGTGTAGAGTTGCTGTTTTCTAGTTTAAATATATGCACTGTTCTATATTTTTCTTTAAAATTACAGAAAGTTTTAAAAATTGATGTGTATGCTAATTAATGTCTACAAATCTATTAGAAGCACACAACCCTAATATTTGAAGATGATAACCAGGATGAGAATGTATAATAATTATGTAATATAAAATAGTGACATAGTTCATACAAATTGTGATATATGGGTTATACTGCACACATTCTTTATCAACTTTAAAGATTACATACGCAATTCCACTATTCATGGGCAACACATTCCATCACAGAACTGTCCTTTGTGCAGACAGATGTATACTTGCTGGTGGATCATTATGAACTTTGACTCTCCATGCTTTGAATTCCCATATTGGTCCTGCAGATTCAAAATTCCAAAAACGACACCCAGGAAAGTTGGACACATGGTGTCATGTCACTTAGTTCTCAATATAACAATCAAAACAAAGAGTCCCTATGGGGCAAAAGGTATAGCAGCAATATCAACTGCAACTTCCCAGATAAGACATAAGACAAAAGGCTGAGGCTTCATCTAAGTTTTACAATGAAGCTAGAGAAAATAAAGGCGATATTAATAAAACAAACAATTGAAGCAGTTTATTGCATTAGTGATTCAATACAAAATTCAACCTGACAAAGGATTCCAATGTCAAATATTGGGACACTTAGAATTCTATCAAGCAGCCATTGTTTTCTTATCACTTACCTTTCATGCTTCATTTCTACTAATGCTAATGATATGATAGCAATGTGCAATTTTCATCAGGTCACTCACTTCATCATCATGAAGGACAGTTTGCAAGCTGGTTGGCCAGAGATCTGTTTACCATGAATGTCAGGACTGGGAAATGTGTCCTCAAAGACAGTTTCAAGATGTGGAACCATCCTACACCAACTCCACTCACTGTGTCAATCCAAGACATTCAGTCCGTACTTCTAGCTGCAATTCTTCATGTGGGCACCACACAGACTCTGGCCAGGACAACTGCTGGTTTGTCATCTGTGTAAAAAGAGGCTCACTAAGGCAGGAGTATACCAGCAGACCTGCCAGCAGGTACTGACAGAAGAATCCTGGTATTGGATGGGTACATTAAATAACAGATAGTGGTTGTCGACTAAAGTTGTTTTACTTTTAGTAAACATCTCAGGGAAGATCTGTCATGATTCCAAATTCTACAATATCATTGTATTTAATTTAAGCTGGTGTGAAAATCATGAATTCAGGTCAGAGGCCCCTTGCAATTCTTTTTAATAATAATAAGATAAGTTTGGATTTGAATTCATTGAATTTCATCATATTAGATCGGTATGAGAAAAAGTATATTCTTTCAAAGGTTTCAGTTAATACCTAGGTATAATACAAACTTATAGGTGCAGAAAAGATTGTGATGTATGGGTTATACTTCACACATTCTTTATATATATATCAACTTTAAAGATTATGTACTGGATTCAATTATTCATGGGCATCACATTCTATTTCAGAACTGTCCTCTGTGCCAGATGTATACTTGCTGGTGGATCATTACGAACTTTGTCACTGCCCATATTGGTCCTGCAGATTCAAAATGCCAAAAACAGTACCATGTCACTTAGTTCCTCAAAATAACAATCAACACAAAGTCCCTTTGGGACAAAAGGTATAGCAGCAATATCAACTGCAACTTCCCAGATGAGGAAATCATAAAGACTAAGTTTTACAACCAAGTTAGAGAAAATGAAAGCGTATTATTAAAACAAACAAATGTCTCCCTCATAAAGCCCCTAAATTATTGTAAATAAATAATAAGATTATTATTATTATCCATTTATAAGAGGTTAAAGAGGCTCAGTTGGAAGAAATTTCTCATGATGACGGTTGAGGTTTCGGATACTCAGTAAATTGAAATGATGAAAGTAAATTGAAAAAAATCAAAGCTATTATTCTTTTGAAAATCAGCTGATTCATTATAGAATATAATCAAGTTATCGAGTTATTTTTAGAAAAAAAACTAAAACTGGCAAATTGTGGTGCCTGAGACTTGACTCATGAAACATTGGTAAAACGTTGTCTTCCCGCCGAATCATTCCTGGTGAAGAGGAATATTATTTTTTGTAAATTTGATTATAACAATAGAACTTGAATCAATCTGAGCCAAATGATGACATGCAGTGATGCAGCCGAATCAAGTCCACCTAGAGAAGGTATTATTTTGAACACATGTCTTGTATTTTTGTGTAATTTTTAAGTTTGAAAATAAATTCACGTGGTATTTTGAGATTGTGTCTGACCTTGTTTGACATGAACATACTGTGATTGTTATATCTAGTTTCATGCACACGGCCACTAAGCTAATGTGAGATCCCAATTACTTGTAAGACATGTTGGTACGCTGGCATATGCGCCAAACCATTTTAGAGGAAACTCATGCTGCTCTTGGAGTCCAAAAATAGTTGTATCCCACAAAACTGTAACTATGCAATGTCCACTGCTTTGAAAATATTCATTGATAAAGAAAAATAAACTCCAAGAGTTTGTGGAGCAATGCCACTCTTGTGTAAACAATGTTGATAGAGCACAGTGAGATTTTCAAAAACAAATTAGTACAAACCACCAACCAGATTCTACAGGAAGATGAGAAATATGAAACTCAATGGGAAGAACCTCATAGATATGGCAGGACATGCTCTAAATATTTAGATTTTAAGTCAAGACACAATACTTTAGTGATCAAACTGTTAGGCCAAGGTGATACTTGTATAAAGCTTAAGAAATACTTTCTGGGCTTTGCTGAAAAATACAAATCATTAATTTCGAAGTTTCAAGTTTTACCACTTGAGATGCTGAAGGATGTAGGAATTGTTTAAGACATTGGCGCTGAACTCACAATATTTTCACTTGGCACCTTTTGAGGTGGATCCCGGCTATGGCATTAATGGTTGAGAAATAGGGATTGAAACCAGCCATAATTTTCCTCTGATGACCATTGTGAATTATTGTGTTTTATGGATTATGGCGACGGCTTTTGTGAATGGATGTTGACCCTTTGAAACCCCTATGGACTTGGAGACTGGAAGGTGAAAAAGGCGTGGTTCACTCCCCCCACCGGCTCCCCGCCGCGTGATTGTGCCCCATGTAGACTGCTATTTCACCCACAGGCTGTGTGTGGATGCCCAAACGGCTCTTGGGTGTCCAGCTCTACTGCCCCCACATTGGACCCATTGCTGGGAAGGATAACCAACCCACCATAAACTGACCCATGCTGGCCATTACTCTACTGTGCACCAAGTGTTAGATGTAGATGGGTTCTATTACTTGGTTGGCGAGTACTATGAGTGTACGTTCTGCAAGGCAAAGTACATCAGCTGGAGTGGTATTGTGCTGAGACAACTTAATGTTGCCCACCGTTGCCAACTTAGTGCCATTCTCACCTACAAGAAGGCAGCAGACTTGAGGGTGGTGCGGCTTTTGAGGGTTTGTGGCCTTGGGAATAGCTCCACCCAGCTCTACACCAAACTAGAGGAGCAGCATGAAGAGGCATTCTTGGTCCAGGAGGCACTCTACCTTGCAGACTGTTCCAAGTTTGCAGAGGCAGCCAACCAGAATAGGATCGCCCCAGTCACCTTTGACCCCACCCCCATTCGCGACCCTATCCCCATGCCCAGATGGTTGAACTTTGTCTTCATCCAGGATGTAGTTTCCAGATTGGAACAAGTGCAGGCGTTCATTACTAGTGTGTTTGGGACAATCCTTAAGATGGATTCAAGATGGAGTAAATACTAAATATTATAGAATAAATTATTCTGAAATATGAAATTAAATAAATTGCCTTTAATTTATTACATATTTAAAGCTAAAATATATTACTTATATTAAAAAAATGTCATAATAATATTTAAAAATTAAGATATATATAAATATATATGAAAATAATTAGAAATAAATAACATGAATTAAATAAACAATTATTATAAACAATTATTTATATTAAGGTGACCAAGATGTTAGCGGGAGAGGCTGATGGGACGGCCAACTGGTGTACTGATGTTGGCAATGAGTACGGCCAGGTCCTCATGTGTGTATTGACTGCCACAGAAGGGTACAGAGTCCAGTCGATGATTGAAGGCCTTGTGAAGAGGTATAGCGATGCTGGCGTCGAACCTCCTCTGGCCCTCTACGTTGACCGTGACTGCTGTGGCAACTCACAGACCCTGAAATTTTTCTTGGCATGGCCAGACATGAAGATCCGCCTGGACATCTGGCACTTCATGCGCCGTATTGCCAAGTGCTGCACCACTGTCTGCCATGAGCTCGACGGGCTGTTTATGGCAGAACTCAGTCGGTGCGTCTTTGTATGGGATGCAGAAGACCTCAACCTTCTGAAGGAAGCGAAGCGGCAGGAGATGCTTTCGGAATACCTGGATCCAACTGATGCAGATATCCAGAGGCGCATAGCAAAGAAAGAGCTGGCCCTTCACTGTAGACGGAGGACTCGGGGTGCCGAGGAAACAGAAAACCTGTTAACCCAGCTCCTCGATACATTTAAAGGTGAAGATGGGCACGATTCATTAGGAACACCACTTCTGGATATAGATCGTGTTGCTGATATGTGGGAATCTCAGAAGCGCCACATCGTGTGCATCCAGGACCCCATAGTAGCTGGGAAACCCGTTCCCCTGTACACGGGGGTTGGGACATTGGTGAAAGGTGGTGTGACACTGCCCATCTACAGATGTGGTGTGACACTGCCCATCTACAGATGTGGTGTGACACTGCCCATCTACAGATGTGGTGTGACACTGCCCATCTACAGATGTGCCTGTGGCTCTACATCCCTGGAGTCCTTCCACAACCACCTGGCTAAGTTCATACCTGGTAAGCTTTTGTTAATGATTTGTTACATTATTATGTAATACCCGAGTGTGATGCACATGGACTTTTTTTATGAATTTTATAAATTAAAAAAAGGGTTTCTCATATCATTAATCTATAGTACTTTATATTATAGGCTAATATTTTAGACTATATCTAGTTTGTTTTTAAAAATTATATTTTCAGGAACCAGCGCTAGTGTCATGCACTTCCAGGCCTTCCTAGTGGAAGGGTAGGTGAGATGGAATGAGAACCGAGCCCTTGAAGCCACTGCATCTAGCCTGCCCAGTTCTTATGACACCTTGCTACAAAGTGCTGTTAGCCAGTTAAGAAGGCAAGTGTTTGATGATGATGTTGCTCCAAAGTTCACCCCTCTCAAGAAGTACACAGGTATGTTAAATAACTAAAAATAACCAAGTTAAATCTAGTGACCCTATAGTTTGGAACGTTATTAACAATCTAATGATTTTGATATCTCTGAAGTCTGAAGCATTCGATTCTGTGATCAATTGATATGACTTATTAACATTTTAGGAAAGACATTAATTGCCAAACAGAAATGTCTTGATACTCGGATATCTCCAAAACCTTTGATTGTCTAAAAAATGATTTATTGTATATTTTAGGAGAGCTCATAGGTGTAGAATACCTCTACAGCCAAACCATGAGAGTGAGGAGGCAGCCAAGATGGAGCCTGGTGAGGGCGTTTCAGATGAGGGGTTCGGTGAAAGAACATTGGAGTTGGAGGAGGTAAATGCCCAGGACAGCATTTATTCTCCCTTCACACAGATTAAACATGAAAAGGTATGTTTTCTTTATAATGTGTATTACTATGCTACTATTGACAACTTGCTCAACCATTCCAAAAGTACCATGTGTCTCAGCAAGCAGTAATGATAATGAGGCTCTGAGGAATTCCAACAAAATAATTATAATTCTTATTTTTGCTTTGGGAATCTTAGAGCATATGTAGTAAAATAAAATTTCTATCTGAGTTGGCTGCTTAACCATTCCAAAATACACTGTGTCTCAGCGATTAGTTGTGATAACTAGGCTCTAAAGAATTCCAACAAATTAAACATTTATTTTTTTGCTATGGAATTCTAAAGCATATGAATAAAAAATGTTATTTCTCTCTGATTTGGTACTCAACCATACCAATATTACCTTGTGTTTTAGTGAACAGTAATAATAACTATGCTCTGAGAGATTCCAACAAAATAATCACATTTCTTTTTTGCTACGGGATTGGATTCTTATTCAATTTTATTCTGACTTAATCATTTATATGTGCTCTTATTGGCACACTTGGCACATATTCTATTTTAGAGCATTCCTCACTCAAGGGATTATTGCAAGATCCCCAGATCACAATAGTAAATGGAGGCAGTGATAGTCCAGCTGTTGGAAATGTACCGTCCTCCAAACAGATGGCTGGGGCCAAGATCATGCGTTACAATCTTGTGGTGAAGGCCTACAACCAAATCCGTGAGGTCACCAACAATGCTGCAGTAATGGCAAGGACACAAATTCAATTATTCCATGTCAACTATGCTACTTGACAAAATGGTGAGTACAGATGTTCTTGTCAAAGTCTGAAAAATTACATTGTTAACTGTTCAAAAATTACCCTGTATCTCACCAAAGAGTAATGATAAATAGGCTCTGAGGAATTTCATAAAAATATTCACATTTCATTTACTTTGGAATTCTTAGAGCATATCTAGTACAATGAGATTTTGCACTCAACCATACCAATAGTACCCTGTGTCTAAGTGAACAGTAATGATAACTATGCTCTGATGAATTTCATAAAAATGTTTACTTTGCATTTACTTAGGAATTCTAACAAGTCTAAGAGCAAAAGTAGTACAATGAGAATTATAACTGATTTGGCATATAACAATACCAATATTACCCGTGTTTCAGCAAACAGTAATGATAACTAGGCTCTTTATCTTAATCTTTATTATTCTAATATTACATTTGAATTTTTTCAGGATTGGTAATCGCGAGAAGAGGCAGGCTGTTGATGTCCTGAAGCAAGGTATAGCGCTTCCAAGTGCCAGTGCGACATCAACAGAGCCTCTTCCAAAGGCCAAGAAGAAGGTGGTGGCACTGCCCTCAGCCAGAGTGGATGATCCCCACGTGTTCTACCCACCCAAGAACACAGCTGGTGAGGGATTGTCATGATTGACTCCATTCACCTACAGTGCTGCTCCTGCTTCAAGGTATGTTATGATTACTCCTACTCAAGGGACTAGCCAGGAGTTCAAAATAGGAAAAGAGTGGAGCAGAACAAGAGGGAAGGCAAAGCCACTAAGTAGTATAAGCCGAGAAGTGGTAAATCTAAGTGCCAACAGGAGCAAGGCAAAGGCCACACACATTCAAGGGGAACTGATACTGGCTTACAACCACTGCTATGTGCTTAGAGGAATGGAAGGCATTCTGGCAAACCCCAACACCCCCCTCCCCTAAGATGACCTGACACATCCCTCGACTTTTATTCCTGGCAACTCCTCATGATAGAGCCTCAATGTTACTATTGCCTGTAGCTGGACTGTATGGCAGCACAATACCCACATGGACACAACAGCCTTTTTCAAGCTCCCTTCAATATTCGTTCTCTTATAAAATAAAGATAACATTCATGAATGAATGCTTCTTTTCATGCATTCTGTTGAATTAATGCAAAATTTCTCTTTCAGTTTTATAGCAACAATCACACAAGCGACAATGGCTAATGCAACAAACAACGCTGACGGTTTCAATGCAACAAACTACGTTGATGGTTTTTGGGATGTAGGCCCGTTATCCATGCTTACTGGAAATGTCAATTTACTAACATCTTATCAACGTGCTACACCACTCGGCAATCTCTTTCGCAACTACCCTTCTATGGACCAGGTTATGGGCTTCAAACCTCTGTATACTTTCACCATCGGCTATACAGGGATGTGGACTGTGAGTCTTATTACTAACACCTTGAGACTTCAACATGAACAGTTTTTGGGAGGAATTATAACTGCCATCAATCATATCCGAGAAAACAACACCAATGATCCCACTGTTACCTTCAACTACTCTATCCTAATGGGCCTCCCGGCGAAGTCACGGTGCCAGGTAATAATAATAGCATATCACTTACCGAATATCGGTCGGCGTCGGCCAGATCGGCTGTCACCCTCCTTGCTGACGAGCAATACTGCATCAGGACCCAATCTTACTTTAAACTAAATAACGTTTTACCGAAACGAAACTTGTAACGACTGTTCAAAGCAAGTTAATCATTTCAAAACTTCTTTCAGGTGTGAGGTCGAAGTTATTCTGAGCAGGGGGGGGGATTTATGACCCAAATGCAGTTCCCATTGTAGACAATGTACAGGCTTTGTTCGACTACTACTTTGAACATCTTCCGTCTGCCTTTGAAGATCTTATGGTAGAATTCCACGCTGCACCTCTGAGGTAATAACCGGAATGTTATCTCAATCATAAGTAAATTGTTTCTTTAATGAATGCAAGTTGTAATTTTAAATGATTTTATGTTTCCAGAAAGTTGGCCACTTCCATCCTGAAGCCAGTAGTAGTATTCCTGCTTGGGCCTATCAGTGCAGTGTGCGACACGACCATCAACAGTTTCACGTTAGTACATACCATTTTTCTAAGCTGTTATTTCTCGCTGAAGATAATCTTGGATAAACAAATTATATATCAATGATTATATCTTATAGCTACAACCAGCACAGAGACAGGTACGGGGAGTTGAGCCGCAGAGAGGTGTACGACCTACTAGTGACCAAGCCAAAACCACTCTGTCAGGCTAAGCGGCACACTCTACATGCTTTTGCTAAGAAGTTGGACTCAATTCACATCGAGGTAGAGGAGGGCAGAGATGTTACCCTATTAGACGATTTTCTCGGATCAGTGGAGTGAGTACAACCCTTCCCCTTCCGGTGTTTGTAGATCAAATGAATCATCGACTATTACTGTACTAATTTTTCCTTCGTATATTTTAGGCAGTTCCCTAGAATCGACAGGAATGTTTACAACATGTGGGGGACTGTCTTTGAACAACCAATAGACGAGGTTCGCCATTTGGAGATCATTGGCGAAGACTTCTTGAGGCAGCTCGAATGTACATCTTACTACACTCCACTGAGTATGTTGTCAGACGGCAGTAATCGACAGAAGAACTTCGGCCGCATGGTTAGAGAGATTATTCGATGTCCACGCAGCCTGTGTGGTCTTGACAATCCGCCTCCTGTAGAGCAGATTGCAGCGTTCGTGCTGCTTGGCATCATGTTCTCCAGTCTGACGACATCTATTACCACCCACAACTTACGACGCTACCCCTACCTCTCATTCTCGAAAGTTCTCGAGGAGTGCCCCTGGTGGGCCAAGTGTGCCCAGGGATTGTCTGTTTTCGGCACCTACAGACATCCTACAGAGGATGAGGCAGCATCCTACGCCGCTGGCCTTAGAAGAGCACCCAGGGCATGTGATGACGATGAAGGACAAGCGCCATTGCAGAGGCAACTACCAGGTAAACATTGATTCTCTCCATTTCCGCAAACTGATTTTACTGTGTGTACAATCAAATATTAATCAGTGATTTTTCAAACAGAGATTCGGCTGGAGGGGGGGACATTCTTTGGCCGTGCGCTAACTATGTCAACGAGATGGTAACTGTGATCGTGCCTGCACCGGAGCCAGAGTTGGTGGAAGAAGAACTCCTCCAAGAAGTTCTCGTCAGGGACGATGGTGAATTGGTAAGATCAATTTCACTTTGGACGTGTACTTTCGTATTTTGTAAAGTTGAAAAAAACTAATTCTGTTTACTTCTTCAAGCCTGATTTGCCTACACTGCATATCCCGGATGAGACACAAGAACCGAGAAGGAGACACAGAACAGAACCCAACTTGAACCAGGAAGAGGAAGAGCCGACCAGGTTATGGGCTTCAAACCTCTGTATACTTTCACCATCGGCTATACGGGGATGTGGACTGTGAGTCTTATTACTAACACCTTGAGACTTCAACATGAACAGTTTTTGGGACGAATTATAACTGCCATCAATCATATCCGAGAAAACAACACCAATGATCCAACTGTTACCTTCAACTACTCTATCCTAATGGGCCTTCCGGCGAAGTCGCGTAGCCAGGTAATAATAATAGCATATCACCTACCGAATATCGCAAAAACGTTTATGCCTTATGACTAATAAATAGACAAGTATTAATTTATACTTTCCATTTCAGGTCAAACTTTTTGAATCCAGTTTTGATGCTCTATCGGCCTCCTTGCAAGTTCAGAATGCCAACTCAGAGGACAAGATCTACTTCTTAGTTCGAGCAATGATGGGCAAGGCACCACCAAAGAGCACTGGAGCTAGAATTATTTATGGACTAAATTTGGACAGCATTGGCATTATGGGCGTTCAGCTAGCCACGGAGTTTCACGCTAATGACCCGAATGTCATCTTAGGCTTTCCTCGGGATATCATCAACAGTTGGAAAACTCACGATATGGCAAATGTTTATACTGCTTTCGGCGTAAAGACACTCCAGACGTTCACGACCAAGAACAACGTACACATATTGGAAATGCTGAACCTGGCGAGAGAAGATCAACGACTCTGGGGAGAAAAGTTTTTACATTGCCGCGGTTATTACCCAGTCACTTGTCAGGGCCTCAACGCAGAGGACAGGAAGATCCGCAACCTCAATGTCCAATTACCACCACCCGCAGGTATGTATTGAGGATGTAACATAAACAAAATATTTTCAACATGCTCGTTGAAAATTTGTGCACGCTAGTTCTGGTTGAACGCTCAATGCAATTTATTGCTTAATGTCTTGGCCCAATTAATTAATACTGTATACCTGCAGGTAAATTACATGTATGTTGTAGATATTTGAACTTCTAAGCATGCTTTGGATGTGAATACACAGGTCTAATGGGTGATGTTTTATATAACACTACTCCTTAGATTGATATTATGAAATTATTGTCACTAGACAGTAAAAGTCATATGTTTTTGCAGTGTTAGATGGTGCAACAGCCGGGGGGGAACCCACAGCAGTTAAATCAGGGAGGGGGCAACCTGGCTCAAGCAGCCCAGCAATTACCCCAACAGGGTCAAATGGCGGGCCAACAAGCAGGGATGCCAAATCAGAATGCAGCGAATGGGGGACAAGCACAACCCCAGGTTCCTATGGCAGGACATCAGCAAAATCCAAACATGGGCCAACAATTGGGCCCAGGCCAAGGTCCACCCCAGAATCCAGCAGTAGGCCAAGGTCAGGACGGGAATATCCAAATACCAAATCCCGGTATGAATCAGGTTTTGATGCCAAATCCAGGCATGAATCAGGGTCAACCTGGAAATGGAATAGGCCAAGGAGTGATGCCAAACATGAATCTGGGGCAACCAGGAAATCAACAGTTTCAAAACCCCGGAATGGGCCAGGGCTACAATCATTAACCCGCTATGAATCAGGGCTACAACCAGAATCAAATGTTAGGCCAAGGCTACAACCACAACCCCGGTATGGTCCAGGGCAACAACCAAAACCCCGGTATGGTCCAGGGCAACAACCAAAACCCCGGTATGGTCCAGGGCCACAACCAAAACCCCGGAATGGTCCAGGGTTACAACCAGAATCCCAGTATGGTCCAAGACCACAACCAAAACCCCGGTATGGTCCAGGGTTACAACCAAAATCCCGTAATGGTCCAGGGCTTGAACCAAAACCCAGGTATGAACCAGGGTTACAACCAGAATCCAGGTATAGCCCAAGGATACAACCAAAAGCCCGGTATGGCCCAGGGCTACAACCAAAACCCCGGTATGGTCCAGGGCTACAACCAAAACCCCGGTATGGTCCAGGGCTACAACCAAAACCCCGGTATGGTCCAGGGCTACAACCAGATGCAAGGCATCAATCCTCAGGCCACAGGCCCTAACTTTTTACCAAAATGAAACTTGTAACAGCTGTTCAAAGCAAGTTAATCATTTCAAAACTTCTTTCAGGTGTGAGGTTGAAGTTATTCTGAGCAGGGGGGGGATTAATGACCCAAATGCAGTTCCCAGTGTAGACAATGTACAGGCTTTGTTCGACTACTACTTTGAACATCTTCCGTCTGCCTTTGAAGATCTTATGGTAGAATTCCACGCTGCACCTCTGAGGTAATAACCGGAATGTTATCTCAATCATAAGTAAATTGTTTCTTTAATGAATGCAAGTTGTAATTTTAAATGATTTTATGTTTCCAGAAAGTTGGCCACTTCCATCCTGAAGCCAGTAGTATTCCTGGAGAATTCCATTGATTTTGGTATTGACTCAGTGAAGGACGCAATTCTAACATTGGCACTCGAAGCGTACATCCATAACTTTTTCAATGGTACACCTATACGCGTTCTATATCCAGCCCTCAAGCTAGTAACCAAGCCTGGCAGTAACAACCGTCTACTAAGAGCAGCTAACTTCAGTTTCCTTGAACCCTTGGACGCTTCCACCACACCAGTTCCAGAAGATGAAGACACACTAAAGGAGTTACTAACAGCCTTGTCCACAGCTCGGTGGGGAGAGATACTACATCCACTCTTTCCTTGGTATAAGTTATTGCACCTGGACGGGGCTTCTACAGAGAGACAACGGGAATTAGCTAAACTCATTATGCTTGGGGCTATCAGTGCAGTGTGCGACACGACCATCCAGTTTCACGTTAGTACATACCATTTGCTAAGCCGTTATTTCTCGCAGAAGATAATCTTGGATAAACAAATTATATATCAATGATTATTTCTTATAGCTACAACAAGCACAGATAGAGAGGTACGGGGAGTTGAGCCGCAGAGAGGTGTACGACCTACTAGTGACCAAGCCAAAACCACTCTGTCAGGCTAAGCGGCACACTCTACATGCTTTTGCTAAGAAGTTGGACTCAATTCACATCAAGGTAGAGGAGGGCAGAGATGTTACCCTATAAGACGATTTTCTCGGATCAGTGGAGTGAGTACAACCCTTCCCCTTCCGGTGTTTGTAGATCAAATGAATCATCGACTATTACTGTACTCATTTTTCCTTCGTATATTTTAGGCAGATTTTTGGGTAATTTTAAGTTTAGAGTATTTCACTAGCGCCTTGGGATGAATGCTTAGACACGTGTGTTGATAACCAAGACCAGGTGAAACCCTCCCATGATTAATGAAGTCCAGATTTATTTATGGTTAGGGTTTGGGCAGGGTACATGTGAATACATGTGTTAATATTCTTAACTTTAAAAAATTATATATCATTAACTGATAGTCGGATTTAAATTTGGTCAAGTGATATAGAATCAGGGTGTAATGTTACGTTGAAAAAAAAAATTTAAAAAATAAATTTTAAAAAAATGTCGAAAATTTTGCTAAGTTCAGCCCCCCCCCCTATATCTCAAAAACTAAAAGTCGGATCAACAAACGGGCAAAAACAAAATTTTGAAAAAATATGCAAAATAAATTTTTTGGTCGAAACCGGAAATGACGTAATAACTTTTTACGTCATCAGTCTATAATTGCATTCGGGGCTGAAATGTTGAGAAACAACCTTTAGGCATTATTTAAGACCAAATCTAAAATTATAGCCCCACTGATTATCAAGTAGTTACTGTATAACTCTAACCCTAACCCTAACCCTATCAATACCTAATATAAATCCAAAGTGTTAGTGATTCAAAATCACCAGAATTTATTTATTTATTATGTGAACACCTGAAAATATGTGAAAATGTGAGAAATAAATATAATTAACTATTTATTTATTTAGGTTGTCATAGGACAGATTAGCATATATAAGCGCAAATGCCAAAGGGAAGGGTGACTAAAAACTTTAAGGAAACCCAACAAGAAAAGCAAACTGTTGAAGAAAAATTGAAAAAATTGATAGCTAATACTCATAACATCAAAAAAAGTTGTAGATACTAGTACTCATAAAAGAGTATTCAGTTTCAAATGATGTGGGATAGATAAAATCCAGTCTCGAAGTCCATAGGCAATTCAAAGGGTCGACATCCGTTCGCAAAGCCTTCATCATAATCCATAAAACACAACAATTCACAATGGTCATCATGAGAAAACTATGGCTGGTTTCGATCCCTATTTCTCAACCATTAATGCCATAGCCGGGATCTACCTCAAAAGGTGCCATGTGAAAAATTTGTGAGTTCTTAGCCAATTTATTATACCATTCCTACATCCATCAGCGTCTCAAGTGGTAAAACTTGAAATTTCGAAATTAATTACTTGTACTTTTCAGCAAAGCCCAGAAAGGATTTCTTAAGTTTTTTACAAGTATAACCTTGACCTAACAGCTTGATCACTAAAATATGGTATCTTGATTTGAATTCTAGATACTTTGAACACGCCCTGCTAAATGTAATAAGCTGGGATACATAAACCCCATATGCTGGGTTTAGTGGAAAATTGCTATCCAAATGTGGAAAATTAACAATGTCAAAATTAAAGTCATCTCTTGAAGGAGGCTCTTAGAGAGATGCGTTCAATTCCAGCTGTCCTTCCTACAGTAAACCAGTTATAAATCTCAATTTGAAGATGTGTGGTTATAGATCTCATCTGTTTGAAAATAGCAACTGCTTTATTATGTCATCCCTTTTTTACATATTGTTAAATCCAACAAAAAGTTGTCTATTTATGCAGCTAATTGTCAGTCAGTACATTAAATAAGTGTTAGACTCAAAAGTATAAACTCATTGTATCATTTGTAAAGGTACATCGATGATGAGAGAGACCTTGAAAGTAGTAGTAGTCTCTTTATGTGTAAGTTTGCAAGTGAAAATACATACACAAGAGGCTCCATAAAAAATATTTGTTTATTTTGTTCTCACATACTTATATATTTTACCCACTTCCACCCCTTCCTATGATTTTATACTCACAATTTTTTCGAAATACAGGGTGACCGGAAAAAAAGGAGACCATTAAAATAGGCAATATCTCCTAAAATAGACTAGTGACATCAATGAAATTTTGCATACATCAGGACAGTTCTATGGAAATTTGTTCCTGAAAGTGTCAATACAAGCAGTCAACTGGTTCAGGAGCTATGATCATTTACATAACATGCTCCAAATAGGCGCAATTGAGACCAACGCAGAGCTGGATACATTTGGCAAATACCCTTACATATTCCGACCTTGTTATGGCATTACATTTAGCATTTATTGCCACCTTTAGGTCAGCAATTGTCTCAGGATTGTTTTGGTACACATTGTCTTTTAAATTGCCCCACAAAAAGAAATCAGGTGGATTCAAATTTGAGGTGTATGGAGACGAAGCTTATCTGACCTATGGCTTCTGACTCAGTGGTCCCACTCAGTTACAGTATCATCCTAAGGAGGTTTTGGGCAGCCCTTGGTTTCCATATGGGATTTAATTGTGCCATATAGGGGTTTTAGTAACATGGCACTATGCCCAATACCTAAAGTGACTCTTAAGATTTGGTAAATCAGCACTTTGGCAACAGGATGATGAACCACATGTCAGATAACCCTTCATTGCCATTACAGCCTAGACTTGAATCCTGCTGATTTCTTTTTGTATGGATATTTGAAAGACAATCTATACCAAAACAATCCTCAGACTATTGTTGACCTAAAGAAGGCAATCACTGCTATATGTAATGCCATAATAATGCCATAGAGGGCAGAACATGTAAGGGTAGTTTGCCATATGAATCCAACTCTGCGTTGGTCTCAATTGTGCCTATTTGGAGCATGTTATGTAAATGATCATAGCTCCTGAACCAGTTGAATGCTTGTATTGAAACCTTCAGTAACAAATTTCCATATAACTGTTCCAGTGTATGCAAAATTTCATTGATGGCACTTGTCTAGTTTAGGAGAAATTGATTACTTCAATGGTCTCTTTTTTTTCCGGTCACCCTGTATATTGGGGGACTCAGATGTAAGTATGTTAAAGACATTTTTATCAAAAGGACTCTAAAAATGTTTCCTTGACTCACATTTTAAGAATGACTTGCTTCAAATATTGGGACTCAAAAAAGAATTTGGGGACTCAAATTTAAAAAAGGTTCTAGTCCCGGGCACTCGAAAAAATTTGGTGTAGCACTAACACTGTACAGGTATTTATAATATTAAGTTAATAGCTTAAAACATTCACTTGACTTGTTTCAGGGATGGGAGAAATGACTCAGCTGGACACTGCCAAATACTAGAACTTAATGCTAGAACAAGGGGATAATTCTATTGTGAACATGCAGATAGTTGATAAAAAGGGAAATCAGTTTAAAATAAACAAGTATTGAGGATGGAATGGAAAAGGGGATGAATGATAGTGATGCTCAGCTCCCCATTTTCTTCATTTTTTCAACAGTTGTATTCAGGACAGCCATTAGTGGCAGAATAGCTATACTGGATACCACAAAACATAGAAGATCCAGAAGTTCTTTGGGTAGAGGCCATGCCCTCAGATCAGCCATAGAGAAGATCGGGAACCAAACCTCCCAGCAGGGACCAGGCCGATATGTTCCAGCTCCAGCAGCGGCCGCAAGAGGCTGCAAGAGGCGCCACCCAGGCAGCTTGCAAGAGGCGCCACCCAGGCAGCTTGCAAGAGGCGCCACCCAGGCAGCTTGCAAGAGGCGCCACCCAGGCAGCTTGCAAGAGGCGCCACCCAGGCAGCTTGCAAGAGGCGCCACCCAGGCAGCTTGCAAGAGGCGCCACCCAGGCAGCTTGCAAGAGGCGCCACCCAGGCAGCTTGCAAGAGGGCGCCACCCAGGCAGCTTGCAAGAGGGCGCCACCCAGGCAGCTTGCAAGAGGCGCCACCCAGGCAGCTTGCAAGAGGCGCCACCCAGGCAGCTTGCAAGAGGCGCCACCCAGGCAGCTTGCAAGAGGCGCCACCCAGGCAGCTTGCAAGAGGCGCCACCCAGGCTAATATGAATCACCTTCATTCAGGGATGAGTACAAAGCCTGGAAAATGTTGAGAAAACAGAAAAGCCCCAGTTCAAGTATATCTAAATCAGTTGAGGTAGAAGCACCTAATGTTGTTGATATATAAGAACCTGAAGAATTATCAGTGATTGCCACCCACGAAGAACCATCAATGATTGACACCTCCAAAAAACCATCAGTGGATGACACTCCCCCTCCTCCTCTAGAGAGTTCCCCCCCCCCCGTGTACAGAAGACTCCTACCAAAACTCCAATGACATCAAACTTAGCCCTTTCACCCTACAAAGAACATGAAGAAGTGAATCCCATAGAGGACAACCAGTCAAAACAAAAAAAAACAAGTGTAATATTTGCAGAATAGAGTTTGGATCTGATGCAGATGTGCGCTATGGGTTGTTCTGGCTTGGCTGCGAACGACCAAGATGCCCACATTGGGTACATGCAGAGTGTATTGGCCTTTTCTTTAAAAAGGAAGACATGAGTTGTGTTGATGGAATCTTCTTTTGTAAAAAACATGGAAATGAATATAAGAATAAACTCCCCACTCTCTGTTCATTATCAAATGCAACGTGAATGTCCCCTTCGGGGCATTCTGGTGGGGCACATTGCTCGGTTATAAATTTATGGACAGAGTTATATGCTCCAGAAGGTTCCACTGTCCCTCTAGATTGGTTTGTTCTTTGGAACCTGTCACCGACAACTATTATTATGTTTAAAAGATGGCACTATTACAGTGGTAAATTTAGGTATGAGGTAATCCCATAATGCAATTGTATACAAATAGTGACTGCCATTGAGGGCAATAGTGTAAATTATTTCATTTACACTATTGCTCGAAATTAGGCAGTCACTATTTGTTTACAATTGCATTATGGAATTACCTCATAGCAGACTGACAAATATATATTTAGGAACACATAGCAATACGCATAACAATACTCCCCCTCCATTTGAAAGCTTTGTATCCCCACAAAGGAAACATAATATTAAAGTATAAATGTATAAAACATTTTATGAGATTCTAATAATATATAGAAATAAATAGAGCAAATAGTACAGTGACCAGAGTCATAGTTGTTGTTTCCATTGGTTTAATCAAATTGATATGCAGGCAAAATTGTTGTTAAAAACCAAATTCAAAATGTTTATAACAAATATAACTCCCTTGTGATATCGTACCTCTATTTTTACTTCTCAATTATAACAAACATTAGGCTTTAATATGTTCAACAAGTAAGGTTCAATGAATGTAAAGTTTATAATGCTGTACACTAAGAAATAGCCTTTTAGCCTCAGTGTTGATTGCCAAGTTTTAGCTGATAGAAGGTTTCATATGCTTGAGTGAACACCAGTACGGAATCATGTTATGCAGAAATTATACACCAATCCCAGTTTACATTGTGTTCGATTTGCACATTTTCAGCCAATGACAACTTTGTAATAATTTGTATTTGAATATAAACCAATCATAACTTGTGAGTTCCCAAAGGGACATATCCCTTTTAGCATGAGTGCAAACCTTGATTTTCAATATACAAGCGACAACACCTTGATTTATTTCAATCAGTCCCAACATTTTACGAGAAGGAGTTACAGGAAAAAACAGAATGTTATATTAAGCCGGGAACATTAAAACCAATGTGCAGTTAGTTACCAACTGCACATTGGTGTTTGATGATGATTTTATTGTAAATAAAAACAATTTTAAATGAACGCCACATCTTGTGTGACATACGTCCTAGTCCAATATTCTACAAATGGTACTGCGGGTGCAAATATCTACATTGTGGTCTACAGCGTAGTCTACAGCGTAATCTACAGCGTGGTCTACAGCGTAATCTACAGCGTGGTCTACAGCGTTTCATATATAGATGTCAGTGGTATAAACAAAGTTCACTTCCAGAAGCTTGTAAAACAGGAGGTTACATTATTTTAGACTCAAACTGTAGGCTTGTAACTTTCTATATCCTAACTTGTTCCATCAATAAACATTCACCTAAAGTCAACTACTAGTTCATCTCTTCATTTTCCATAATCTACAGTACAAACAACTCTGAATGTAAAACTGATTTCCCTATGAATAAAAACATATCACCTTTAAGACAAAATTACATCTCAAAATAACAGTTCTCTTAAGCTTGATAAATTGTTAAGAAACTCAAAGAGAAATCATAATTCTTATATAATCTATGATTGATATACAATATACCCCATTATCATCTAATCACAGATTCAAAAATAGTCATTGTTCAAAAAAATGTTAAAAAGTGCCTCCATCAAAGTCTGACCAAAGGAAGCATGATCAAATTCAAACCTAAAAACATACATGTCAAAAGCACAATGGTCACATTGACCAATAAAAAAAAGTAAAAAATTAACTCAATTATGCCATCCATGTTATATTTACTTTCATAATGCGGCATTTACCCTAGCATATGAAAATCCTGAAACATGGGTAAAGCTAAATCTACTCATACCAGTAGACCCAAAAAGAGACACTTCTGGAAATAGATTCACAAAAGTTGAAAAAAAGAAAGTCAAAATGAAGAACAATTGGAGAAAGTATCCAAGTTGGATATTCCTACAAAAACAGAATCTGCCTCACAATCAAAACTAAAATTCACTGAAAGACTTGAATTCGATCAAGATGAAGAGCTCACTGGATTTAGGTTCATAGACATTGAACTTTTGTGTACATTTCTAGGGCAGTTCAACTGTCCACTGTGTGGATCTAAATCATTGGGCAATGCAATAGACGCAACATTGATCAATTTTACAGAAAAGAAAGTTGGTTTAGCATCAATATTAACAATAACATGTGACAATTGTAATGATGATATTGGCTTTGTTTGGTCTAAGAAACCTGTACGTGTGTGTTACGATGTGAACCGCGGGTCCCCCTGGCCATGTGTGCCATAGAAAGAAATCTCCAGCAAGGAAATCAATTCCTCGCAAACATGAACATTCATGCTGCACAGGCCCCTGTTCTTTGGAACAAACATTTAAAGAAGACCCCGGCGAAATGATATTCTTGTGATATGAATATTCATGAATTATTCATGAATATTCAGGTGTGATGAATATTGTAATATCGAGATAAATTGTGAAGAATAAAGATTTAACCATATTCTTGTATTTTTGAAGAATAATAAAGAATAATTTATGTTCTTGAATATTCTTCAAATTCTATGGTGAATAATTGAAGAAAAATAAAGAATGTTTCATGTTCTTCAAAATACTTCATATTTTCACCACCCTGAATGAAGAATATTTGAATAATAATGAATAACATTTTCTATTTCTTGAAATCTTGGAAATTCTTCATATTTTCACCATGTTGTTTAAGGAATGAGAGAATAATAATGAATAACTAAAATATTCTCAGATATTCTTCATTTTTTCACCACTTCATTTGAAGGATATTCGAAGAATAATAAAGAATATTTTGTATTGTTGGATATCCTGAAAATTCTTCATATTTTCACCACCTTGTTTAAAGGATATTTGAATAATAGTGAAGAACTTCTATGTTCTTAGATATTCTTCAATTTTTCATTACCTCATTTGAAGAATATTTGAAGAATTATGAAGAACATTTTGTAGTTATGGTATTCTTGGAGATTCTTTATATTTTCATTAACTTGTTTGAAGGATATTTGAATAATAATGAGGAACTACAATGTTCTCAGATATTCTTCACATTTTCACCACCTCATTTGAAGAATATCTGAAGAATAATAAAGAACATTTTGTATTGTTCGATATCCTGAAAATTCTTCATATTTTCACCACCTTGTTTAAAGGATATTTGAATAATAGTGAAGAACTTCTATGTTCTTAGATATTCTTTAATTTTTCACCACCTTATTTGAAGAATATTTGTTGAATAATAAAGAACATTTTGTACTACTGGTAATCTTGGAAATCCTTCATATTTTCACCATGTTATTTAAAGGATATTTGAATAATAATGACGAACTTATGTGTTCTTAGATATTCTTCAATTTTTCACCAGCTTATTTGAAGAATATCTTAAGAATAACAAAGAACATTTTGAATTATTGGTAATCTTGGAAATTCTTCTTATTTTCACCTACTTCTTTGAAGGATATTTGAATAATAATGAAGAACTAAAAAATATGTTCTCAGATATTCTTCACTTTTTCACCACATGTTTCCTACATGTTTCTTTATTTAAAAATCTTCAAGAAAGATGTTTAAATAAAGAAACATGTAGGAAGAATTTCTCTGCTTTTATTTCAAATTATTTTATTATATTTAGTATGTACACTAAGAATTTTGACTTTTATACATATTATTATTATATATATATATATAAATTCAAGAATTATCTTCAGAATAACAGGAATTCTGAATTATAGTTCAAAAAGTATTTAAGTATATTGTAAGAAATTGTATTTGAATCCAACAGCAACATACTAGTATGTTATAGTATGTTTTATTACATAAAATTGTTATTTACCTAGGTTCAAGAACGCTATGTACTAGGTTTAAGAACACTTACAGAATTTATTCAAAATAAAACATTATTTTGTATTAAAGATACAAATTATTTTACTGTGTATTTAATATTCAATATATATTCATCCTGGCAACACTTGCAGAGCTTTTTCAGAATAAAGTGAAATATCTAAGTCCTGGAAAATATTCTACAAATATTCTAATATTCAAGAATTATGATTATTGTCAATGCATAAGAACTTTATAAAAGTCAATTTCATGTGAATATTATGTTCAATATGGTGTAAGGAACACAATGGAAAATATTTCAGTTATCGCCCGAACAGATGCTTTATTTGAAAACGGAGCGTCCAATGCCATTAGGCATTGCTAGAACATACATTTGCATATTTTCTCCACACTGAACTAAAACAAGTTTTCTCTTTAGCTCACTTATGTGATACAGCTCTGTTTTCCCTGAAGGTTTTGCTTTATTTGCATAAGTTGAACCTCTCTGCACTCTGAGCA